TATTATTATTATTATTATTATTATTATTATTATTATTATTATTATTACTATTTAATCTTTAGTGAGATTCACAGCCTTTGGGGCTGGGTGGTAGTTCAACAGTTACATCACAGGGTGGAAGAACTGTTAGTTGGCAAGCAGAATCGGGTGGCCTGATGGCCAATGAAACCTCCAGGCACAGGCGCAATCTACCCCCAAAGAGGGAAAGGGATGCAGACAGAAAGGAGGGGACAGGTGCCAGGCTTCAGCCCCTGGTCTTGCCTTGGAGGGGGTGGGAGACCGGAATTTGGGGCAGGACAGACCAACTCCTCTGCCGGGGGGGGGGGGCGGGGGGGTCTTCGCCCAGGCCATATAAACCCTGGCCAGCTCGCATTCGCCCTCCCTCCCTGCTCCTCTGGCTAGAGAGCCCAATGCGTGGGATACAGTTTTGCAGGCTGAGGCCGCTCTCCTTGGACCGCAGCCTGTCCTGGAGCTGCACAATTTTGTATACACACACACACACACACACACACACACGCACAGACAGACACACACAGACAGACACACACACAAAGTCCAGCTTCCTTTTCCTGCCTTACAACAAAGAGGGAGGACTGAGAGTCTGCAGCTGGCCTCCTCCAGGTGTGTGGGCATCTCGGGCCCTGTCCTTGAGTTGTTTTCCTGGGGGGGGGCTGTCCCCAAGGCTGAACACCCCCACACACACACCCAAAATAAACTTCTGAGCTCCAGGGATGCCCCCTCCGCCCGCCCCCCACAGCTGCCTGTCAATCCTGCATCAAGCAGTTGGCTGGGTAGCAGGTGGTCACCCAAAGCACATCCATTCCACTTTCCCCTTCACCCAGGGGGGGTGGGGGAACAGAGGCAGAGGGAAAGGTGCAGCCTTGTGTCCCCTCCACCCCCAATGTCTTCTCCTGAGGCTGCCCAGCTGTTGCCCAGTCATGGTCCCAGTTCAGGCTCCCAGCACGGGCACCCGCCAAGAGTCTGGGGACGATGGGCTTCCCAGTCAGAGATGGCTGGGGGGGGGGG